AAGACACTGGTGTAGGAGGTGGCGACCATGAACTTGGAGAAGACGGTACAGACTTGGACCGAGTCTTCATATGACGTCGGGGCGACTTAGCAGGAGAATGAGGACGAGATTTCTTGCGCTTCTTCTGGGCCGCCTTCTTCCATGCCTTCGGGCCAAACAGCGATCTACGAGCAGACTTGGGAGTTGAAGTATCGGCAGGTGGCGGATCACCGAGACCAGCAGCTGCCATCGAAGTACTGGCCTTGTCCGTTGGGATCGGAGCCTTGTCTTCGTCAGAGTCTTCCGATCCGTCGTTTGAATCCTCGACACCTGATCTAAGACGCTTATGGGACTTCCCATGGGCCACTTGGTGAGCGGCTTTGGCCAAAGCTGCAGGAAGGGCTTGAGGATCATCCGAAGACGCGGTGGCAGACTGAATGCGCCGCAAAGCGACTAATGTCTCCTGATCCAAGTCCAGCGCGTCCAGGTCCAGCTCACCCGCAGTCAGACTTATCACGAAGGATTGTGAACTAACGTAAGTTGCTGAACACACGGTGGAAGGACATAAGAGCGTACCTTTAACAGCCAGACGAAGTACCTCGGGATCCATCCCTGCCAGACTCACGTGTGCACGGAGGGTACGATTCGCTTGAAGGAGGCGAGTGCTACGGTCTTGCTGGTTCTCGAGGACCTTGAGCGTATCGTTATCAACGTACTTGCCTTGGGCAAGCTTTACCAGAAGGAGGTGAAGCTTCCGAGTCTGCTCGGTATTCGCTCCAATAGAAGACTTGTACACCTCGCGTTCGCGAGCCAGCTTCTTTTGCAAAGTGCTGATGAAGACATCCCGAGCTTGGACCTCGCAGTGAAGACGATTCAAATCCTCTGCGTGTCGCTCCATAGTGGCTTGAACAGTGGCGAGCATGGCGTCGTTTTTGGCGTTCGACTCGCGGAGAATCTTAACGTTGTGGTGTAAGGCTTCAATCTCAGCGTTGGCAGCCTTGAGGAATGTCTTCGCGTTCTCACGAGCTATGATGTGGGGTGCCACCGAACGTACGGCGGCAGCAGCCTCGGACTGAGCAAACCGCAACTGACGCTCCAAGTCGGCAACTCGTTCGGGTAATGCCGACAGCGTGTCAGGAACAGGTTGTATCGCAGCGAGGACATCATCGAAATCAACGGCAGTCTCGAGGCGACGCTGATTGTGTAAATCGCCGTGGAGAGGAGGCGCAACTCTGAGCTGCACTTGGTGACGAGCCATTGCAGTCAAGTACGGGATTATCGAGGTCATCATGTGATCGACCGATGCCTCCGTACATTCAGCCAGCATGGCGCGCAGCGAATCTTCGGTGAGTGGTGGCGGACCACCAGCTGGGGCAGGAGGAACAGCAGGAGCCATCTCCGCGGGTTCAGCGACGACGGGGAGTGCTGCAGGAGCTACCACAGGGAGTGAAGAGTCCGGGGCAGCGGGCGCCGGAGGGTCGGTTGATGACGCTGCTGTCGGAGGAAGTGCAGCAGACTGAGGGGCGTTCGAACCCTCGGTCTTGCCCTCCTGAGAAACAAGTCGAGTAATGCGAGGTGATGAGCAAGGTACCGATGATTCAGGAGAAGGATGGGCTTACGTACCTCCAGCTGCTCACGTTCGCGACGTCTACAAGGATTGAGACGCTGAAAAGCGTCGGACACGGCTCGATTCAGACGCTTGGACAAACGGTGGCGAGATGGTGAATTGAAGAATGAAGAAATGTCACAACGGGCACCAGTACCGTGGCTTCCATTGCGACAGGGGCAGTTGTGGTGTAGTGATTTCTCCGTAGTTGCGGATTATCACCCGTCGACAAAGACGTGACACCGCCCAAGTTGTTCAAGCGACGAACCCTCGGTCAGGTGATGTACGGAGACGCCAAGGTGCAAGGGACTCGACGGCGTCACCTCCGAACGTTCAACGAGTATTGGATACGGGCATATGTCACTGAATCCAGGCTGTCCTTATTATTAATTATGGACTGGCCGGATTCGCATTCAGCGGACCATCTACGGTACGAACCCTCAGTGGCGGTTGGGATGAGTTCGCGGAAGACTCAACGACCCTTGGAAGGCACGTTCACCGTCTGGGACAGGGCGCGGACCGTTAAAGATGCTCATGCGACGGTGCAGACGACGCTTGGCATGCAAGAAGATCCATAACGGATCATTGTTCGCTTGATATTTGTATACTTGATTAGGACTTCTTATTAGGAATAGACCCGAAAGTGTAAGCTTAAATACAGAACAGAATTTCCACTCAAGCACACAGAGCGACGTCCGGCTTCAAGGTAAGCGTCAGGTCAAGCTTGTTTGAGTGTGTTATGCCTGTCGGTGAACTCGAAGCTCTGTAGCGAGGGTTCATCCGGCAAGGCCAAGAGACTTTGTGTATTGGCCAATTATTATCGGGAGGTTTTACGTGACGGCTTATTGTTGCCTATTTGCACGATTGGGAGAGCTTGAATTGCCTCCCTTTTATTCTTCCTACCGAGTGTTGAACACTCGGTGATCTCGTAAAAGGCTTACCCGTGCCTGGTACCCTTCCGCTGTTGGGACCACGAGGATTCAAAACACCTGCTAGCTTTGCTCGTGCTAGTAGCGTGTTCTTATTTTTACTGGTTGGCCTATATAAGTAGTTTACAAGGTCCAGTTTGTCCCGGTGCAAGGGCAGAACTGGGTCTTCAGGTCCGCCCGAACGATCGTTTACTATCCTAGTAGACGTATTGTTGTGGGAACATCCTAACTACATTTGTAGCTAGAGTTCACGTGGGATTTCCAACACCACATTTGCATAAGTGCTATTTGAAATGCAGGTGGTTTTGGGTGGAGGATGAAGATGAAGATACAGTGATATCCAACACTAATAAAGAGATTGTATCAAGAATCATAATTCAAGATCATTAGAATAATTGTTTTTAATCAGATAAGCATGATACTGACGCAGATTAATAAAAATTAAAGAATCGATTTAGGCACCAAGCGGGCTTTTAAAATAATTCCGCCGAAGCGTAGCGTAGGCGGGAAGGCCAGAACAAGTAGAACTAACGGATAATGCCGAATAGAGTACTTTTCCAAATAGTATACCTAGACCAAATTGTGTACCATTTTGGCGGTACTCAAATAATAGTGTACCGTACCAAATATAATACCATCACCACCAGCCACCAATGACCAAAACCACCAATTTTCTTGGTCGGCTCTCTTTATTCTGAGTTTTATCAGACCCTACAAGCCCCCAGCGGCCAAACAACTCTCAGTGAAGATGCCGTCGTCACGCATGCCCAAGTCAATGGCTAAGAAGAAAGAGATCGTTCAGTGGATCGAGAAAAACGGCGGTGTGCCCACTCCAGCCGCTGTTTACTTCAGGAACGAGCGCGGTTGGAAGGTTTCCGACGCTCAGGTGCGCTGCTGGTGGAAACGGCGCACCGCTATCAAGGCCGCGCCAGCGCTACGCAGCTGGGCGGGCGCTAAGCCACGGCTCTCCGAGATGGAGGATATCCTGCTCGATCAAGTGCTGTTTCGTCGGTCTGCAAAATGGAAAGTCTCTCGTGATTGGATTCGCAACGCTGGGCAGCGGTTTGCCGCATCTGAGCTGGGCGATACAGATTTCGCTGCGTCGGACCGCTGGGTCAACGGCTTCATGCGTCGGTGTGGGCTGTCGCTGCGCCGCACCACCAATCTTACCGTGCTAATCGATGACGTGTTGAGCCGACCGGGCGGTAAGCTTTCTAAGCTATCTCACGTCACGCATCAATGGGCTTAGCGACGACCTCACCATCCTGATGGACGAGACGGCTAACTACTTCGAGGACCCGCGCCGCCAGACGGTGGACCAAGTTGGAGCTCGCCACGTCGTGCTAAAGTCTACGGGATTTACTTCAATGCGGGTGACGGCTGTGCTGGCCGTCACGGCAACCGGCCGCAAGCTGCCCCCGCTTGTTATTCCCCTTTGGGGCCAAGCAGGATGGCAAGATGGAGCGCTACGGCATCGTCTACGTCGTAAGCCAACCCAAGGCATGGGTCGACTCGGCGCTTCTCACTCGTTGGCTGGAGCTGGTGTTTCCGCCCACTTTCGACACGTGCACGCAGGAAGAAGCGCTGGCCTGGGACAGCATGCGTGCACACATCTCTAAGATGCTGAAGGCTCGGTGCGCCGCGAAAGGAGTGCCGATGTTCGTCATTCCAGGAGATCTGACACCCTACGTGCAAGCGGGAGACATCGGGATCTACAAGTCGTTCAAGGACAAACTGTCGCCCATCATTGACAGCTGGAAGAAGTCTAATTCTGTGCTCTACACTCGCGGAGGAAATCCAAAGCCACCATCGGTTGAGACCGTGGCGAACTGGGTGAACGTCACTTGGCGCGATGTTCCAGCTGACGTCGTTGAGCGCTCGGTGGCAGCAGCTGGGTTTTCTCCAAGATTTGGAGATTGGCATGTGGCGCGACACGACGTTTACGGCGAGCTCTTTTGCTCAAAGTGGGAGGAGCGCATTAGAGAAAATGCCGACGACATGAGCGACAGCGGAGGTGCCCTCAGTGAGGACTGTTTCGATGAGTTTACGATTTGGGACAGCGAAGAGTCTGTGTACGACTAGAATTAGTGTAGCGGTCCAATTTGAGTACCTTTTGGTAACTAAAGGTATAATACTACGTAGTACATGAATTATGTACCGTATACAAATTGGCATTATCCTAAACTACCGGCGGCGCTCGGCTAGTTACTTTTAAGTTAGACAGAGAATACAACTTAAGTAATATTAAGGTCCTTACTGAATCCCTATCAGCAAAATCGATAAATCACAATTTTTGATCATCTATCACGACATATTAAATGGTAGAGCATCATTTATGGGAGTTGAGCCTGAATACAGAGTGGTGACAGGCAATTTGGCTGAGGTTCCCATCACATGATGTTGATGGGGATTGGACGCACCTGGCTTCAGTCGACAATTCGCTTCGAACAGCACAAGCCCCCTCCTCCAACGAAGGACTCTCGACAATGAACGCGAACACGTTGGTGGTCTTTGCGGTTGTAGCTCTGCTCCAGTTGACTAGTGCGTCGGCTAGGCTGGGAGAGGCACAGATCTACACTGGAGACAAGTGCCCGACGCGATGCACGCGCGACTATAGACCGATATGCGGCTCGGACGGTATCACCTACGCGAACAAGTGCCTATTCAAGGTCGGGCAATGCTTGGATCCGTCCCTTAAGAAGTTCCACAAGGGCAAATGCAAACAATGAGAATGAAGCTATCCTTGTAAAACTGCTCAGGGCCCCTCCAGGCGTTCTAAATATTTCTTAATGAAGCTCATGAGAAAAGGTTCTTGCACTTTTACTTCTATGGAAAGCGTCGTGCAAATCAGGTGTGTTGTAAAGAATTCCTCGAGCAGAATGAGCGAAGATTTCCCCGAATGCAAAAATGCCAGGCCAAGATGAAATCTCAAAAAGCAACATTTCAAATGTTCTTCTCGTGCAATTTGCACGAAGTGTTTCGACCACTAAGAAACGAGCATGAAAATTTCCCCGCGGCACTTTTAAGCTTAACTCTCTACCTCTTACTCCTGTCTTCCTTTAGTAGAAGTGGTTTTAGCGGAAATATTGAGAAGTGATGCTACATGTAATATTTTATCGGGCGTAGCAGCGTAGTTTTTGAGCGTTCGCTTTGCCTTATACTGTATACATGAGGCGTCGGTCGAGGGCCGCTATTTATTTTAATAAAATGTAGCTAGCCATCTAAGCCGCAACAAATTCAAATTCCGTTCATTCACAATAACGCAAAACTAGTAAGCGACATCCCTAATTGTCGCGCGTGTCCTCTGTACCATCACCTTCACCTAGTGCGCGTAGCAGCTCCGTGTTGGCAGCTCGTTCCCCCTCCAGCTGCTTCACAAGGACTGCAATTCTCTTTTTGTCTCTCTTTGCGTGCTTCGAATTGCATCATTAGATGCTCGAATTTCTTGGTCAGAAGCACATTCACTTTCTCCAAGTCTTCCTTCGCTTCAACGACCTGCTGTGATTGAATTTTCAAACGCTCAGCCTCAGTAGCTGCCGCTTTACCTGCAGCTACTTCGACTACACTCTGCTGCTCCAGTTTCTTGACGGCGGCCTGCAACGCTGCCACCTCGTGCGCGTCCTTGGTGGACTCCTCAGCGTTTCTTTCCCTCACCTTTACGGCGTCAACGTTCTGCTTGTGCATGTCCAGGCCCAGTACTTTCAATCGGTTTTGGAGCTCGTGAAGCTGCCTCTTCCCACGCCCACGTGTGCAAATACTCTGGAGTTTTTTTCTCTTCACGTCGAAGCCGGGGAAGTGAGTCTGCATCTCACACTCGATGCTCGCCCACTTCCCACCGTAGCGAGCTGGCCCCTTCCGCCACGCGGGAAATGTCGTGTCTAACCTCAGTAACATCTATTGCTCGTCCTCCGCTAACAGGAACGACACAGTTCCACATCTTATATCGTCGTTCTCCAACTTTGGCTTCTTTGTGGATGGTCCTTCCTCCATAGGCTGCTGGGCAGCACTCGCCACCTGCTCATGGCTGTCTGGCTGCGTCATGCTTTCAACCTGGAGAACATTTCCGGGACAATGCAATATCCTCTTCCCAGAGAGTGAATGCCAGCTTCAGCTTATGTCACTCTCGTATTCCTCACTTTAGTGTCCTAACAGCATCGGCACACGTGTGTCGCAATAATGGCAGCCCGTGCCGCTATCCGACACCAGAAACAGCGGCTGGACGTGCCCCTCGTTGGCCTCTTTCTCTTCTCTGTGTGCATCAAGCTGTTGCTCTTACCGTCCTACACCAGCACCGACTTTGAAGTCCATCGTAATTGGCTGAGCCTCACACACGAGCTGCCGCGTCACCTTTGGTACCATGAAAACACGAGCGAGTGGACACTGGACTATCCGCCCTTCTTCGCCTACTTTGAGTACGCGCTGAGCTTCATAGCGGCTGCTGTGGACAAATCTATACTTCAAATCAGCGCTACGCCCGTGTTCTCGCCCTCCATTTTGCTCTTCCAACGGCTCAGCGTCATCATGTCCGACGTTGTGCTGTTCTACGCTCTACACGCTTACTGCTCGTCCTGGCCTACCGTTACCACAACAGAGTGGGCCTTCTCCAAGGCCAAACGACTAGCAATTATGCTGATCACGGTACTGGACGCGGGGCTGCTCTACGTGGACCATATCCACTTCCAATATAACGGGATGCTGCTGGGTCTGCTCATCCTGTCGGCCACCAAGTTCAGACTGCAGCGGGACATTCAGGGCGCCTTTTTGTACGCTGTCCTGCTAATGTTCAAGCACATTTATTTGTACGCAGCGCCGCTGTACTTCATCTACCTGCTTGGGCACTTCTGCTACGTGAAGAAACCCGACTCCGAGTCGTCGGATAGTGACGAAGATGCCAAAGGAAAACTGCTCAGGAAGAGATCGATCTCCAGCACAGATGTCCACGAGACCATTCAGGATTTATATGACGGCAACGTCGTCTTTTCTTTCTGCAACTTTGTGAAGCTTGGAGTGATGGTGCTCGCAGTGTTTGCATTCGCGTTCGGGAGTATACTATGGAACCACGAGGACCCGGTAGCTGGGATAAAGCAGATCGTGTCACGACTGTTTCCAGTGCAAAGAGGTCTGTGCCACGCGTACTGGGCACCGAACTTCTGGGCTCTGTATGCGTTCCTCGACAAAGTGTTGGTGACCCTCGGGTTCCCAGCTTCGACAGAAGGTATCGCGCTGATGAGTGGAGGACTCGTGCAGGAGGCGAGTTTTGCTGTGCTGCCCACGGTCTCACCGCTAGCATGTGCAGTGCTGACGTTCGCTATGATGACTCCAGTACTACGAAGTATTTGGAAGTACCCGGACTCGTCGTTGTTTACCAGTGCACTTGCTTACTGCATGCTCTGTTCGTTCCTGTTGGGTTATCACGTGCACGAGAAGGCTATTCTCCAAGTGACACTGCCGTTGGCTCTCATGGCTGCCGATAGTGTGGCTAGTATGCGTTTGTACAGGTTTGCATCTGGCGTTGCAACTATCTCGCTCTTCCCGTTGCTGTTCACACCCGCTGAACAAGGATCGAAGGTGCTGGTGGGTGCTTGCCATGCGTTGCTAGTCGAGGTCGTTCTCGTCCCGCTGCTCAAGCACTCACTCAAGGAACGACACATCAAGGTCACCGCTGTCGGCATGTCAATCTTCGAGCGGGTTTTCCTGACTGGACTGGCAGGGCTCGCGTTGTTGGCAGTGATGTTCCCTTACATCCCGAGGATTGGCGCTCAATATCCCTTCCTGCCTCTGATGTTCATCTCGGTCGGCTGTGCCATTGGAAATATTTACGTGTGGGGCTTCACGGTCACTCAGCATTTCCGTAAACTAGACGCTGTCAAGTACTATCTCGACGCCCAAAGACCAAAGTAAGTACAACTGCTAGCTACAGCGAGATAGACTGGTGCTGTTTCCTTTATCTTGTTTTTCTTCCTGCACTACAACATGCATGGGTAAGGTGGTCGCATTTAGCAACACAACGTTACCACTCTCTACGACAGCTTGCCCAGTTGCTGCTTCTTCTTGATGGAGTTCATGGCATGGAAAACGCCCGAGTCCACAAGGCTCAAAATGGTGAATACACCTCCAATCACTGCACACAGGTGGGTGATGAAGTGGTAGAACGGAATGTTGTCCGTCGTGATCTGCACCACCAACGGCGAGATGTCGAACGTGAAGAGCGCGGACGGCGTCTGGTCCTCGTACTGTGTGGTGCTAGCTGAGAACTCATAAGATCGCTGTTGCAGATGCGTCTTCCGGGTGTTGTCCTGGTTGTCAAAGCCCACAACCTGCACCATACACGGCGAAGTCAGTACGTCGAAGTAACATTTAGTATCCCTTTCAACCCCAGACTTCACTTACGTTCATGAAGTGCTGGACAGTCACGTTTTCATTCTCGATGGTGTAGATTTTCCTATCCAGCGGGAAGCGGTTCGACGGCGCCGCGAGCACGTGGTTGTCTCCACTTAACAGATTTTCGGTACGGCGCACTTGCCCGAAGGAGAAGTGATTCACCACGTGGGACACATCGATAGCCTGCGCGTTAAATGACACGTCGTCGGAGCGCGCAGTGAACACAAGCACGCCAGGGACACGGTTGACACTGATACTTCCCGAGATCTCGCACCCCTCAACAGCGCCAGTCTGAATCGTGCTGGATGGACGGCGCTTCTTGAAGTCAATGCCCTCCAGATTCTCTTGACTCACTCGAACAGGTAGCGGGAGGCCTAGACGGTCGTTATTGACGTTCACTTCTTCAGCAAAATCAGCATCCGGTTCCAGACGACGGAAGAACAGGTCTAGGAACTGTAGTAGGTGTTCAGTCTTGCGCGGTCCGTTGTAGATGTAGCGTGTCGATGTGCTTCCGTACATGTAAATCAACATGGAAGGGAACGCACGGATATGTGCGCGACGACAGAGCCACACAGCATCCGGATCTGTGCAGTCCACGGAGGCCATACGCACCATCTCACTGTACTCCGGGTGATCGGGAAGTTGAGCTGCTGCGCGCTCCCACTCAGGGTGGAGTTGGTGGCAGAATGGACACCAAGGAGCGTAAAAATTCACAAGAACGAGTTCGTACTTGGCCATGAAGTCATCAAAGTTCTTGGTAGTCAGCGGAGTCGAGTAGTGAACGTTGGCGCCCTTGGTGTCTCGGTGGACGCCCCCCCAGACAGGGATTCCCTTTTCATGGTTGTCTATAACAACCTCATCCAGACGCTGTACCTCATTGGAAGAGCGGTCAGCACCTAGTCGGAAATGGCGGATGTGACGCGTAAGATTGGTGAAGCGCTGACCCATGTGATCCTCAAGGTCTACGCTTGCCACGGAGCATGGCACGTTAAGCAGACTAACGTTGAAGTTGACACGCAGACGGTCCTCCTGGTGCTCGTCCATTACGACAGTAGTCTTGGTGCTCTGATCGCGATAAGCTTCCCAATGGGTGATCAGTAGCAGACCCATGATGGCGAAGGACAGCAGCGAGAAGAAGCTGCCCGAGTACGTGTGCACCTTCAGGTCTTCGGGCACATGTCTTGAGAGAACCAGAGCAAATTTACAGTATGAAGGTCAGATAGATAAATTGCGAGACGATGGAGAAGTAGTGCGCCATATTAGAGGTGCTGTCGAGGGGTAGCGTGGACTATAATACGCACCGGAAGAAGTCGAACTTCGCCATTTTCAGTGCCAAGGTGCCACGTAGACGATTGCAAACTGCAGCGACTGAGGTCGCATTTTAGCCAATGTTAGAGGTTAATGATATCGATTGGTGAAAAATCGTTCTTACCGTATTACATACTGCATGTAACATATTGTGAACTTCGCCAAAGTTTGCTGTTGGAGAAACGTAAGAATTATTGTAAGAACCGACTGCTTTGCCTATATACATGTAGTTTCTACATCAGCCGATTTATACGTATGTGCGGAATGCGAGGTGCCCCAGAATGTCACTCTGTTGCAGCGCAATATGTTAGGGATGCATGTGTGTCAGCAAAGACACAGCGAGCGAAGTCTTTTTGTTATTTTGCGCTGGAACACTAGCTATTAAAAAGAGATCGAGCCATCGACTACTCTACGGCGACAGGTGAAATCGATATCGTGCGGTTCACATCTAATTTTGAGATGCTTTACTGAAGAAGCGAAAAACGGTGAGTGTGGGAGCTATCAGCGGTTACCGCAGTGCTGCTAATGACCTATATGGTCGCCGTGGGATCCCGCTACCAGCGCCGTACGAGCAGGAATCGGCTGCATTTTTATGTATTGAAACACTTTCAAGCAACGAGCCTACAGTCAGGATCAACGAAGTCATCTGGCAAGGACTCGTTACCTCTCATATTGTACCGTCAGCTATGCAAAGCTACGTAGACCAAACTGAATGGTGGTTTCTCTCACCTGTTCTTAACGACTTAATGGAACTTAATGCACTGCTCGGAGTATGTCCAGACTGCGTGCACGGATCACTTGACATGTCATAATGGCAGTATTAGTGGTTCTCACGGTTAGAAGGTACGAAGGTTTCGTAAGCCAATCAAATCAAACCTTATTTGTTTAACTGTGAGCAGCCTGTGCAGGGGCTACTGACAGTCGCAGCCAGTGACTTCATTCGTAAGTGAGCGCTGAAGGTGAGAATGGGGCGATCTCTACGAGCAGCGCTGCTGCTTCACCTACAGCACTCAGCTCTAAGCTATCTGCTTTGTGACCAGGGAAGCGAGAGCGACGAAAACGAAAACGATTTGTTCTACTGCTCGATAGTCTCCCACCGCTACCTGGGTCGTCCAGACGTCGTCAAATCTGGGAAATGGAGCCCTGAACGGATATTTCTACTTGATGCCGTTCGTGCTCGCCGCGACCTACGCATGGGCAAACAGACCTTCGTGTTTTTGCTGGGACGCATCGAGGTCCACACTGCCTTCGCTCGAGTTGCAACAAGCTCCTGCCCAACTTCAGCTGGAGGTTTTTCTTTTCGCGCTGCAGGACTTGACGATTTATCGCATTGCGCAGCATTTTGGCATTGGGGAAGGTAAGCTTACAACTACAGACGTCTTAGTGGCATTGCTAACTATTCTATGACGGTGGTGTGTACAAAAGGTTCTGTTTATAAATTCAGGGACCGAGTGACTAGTGCAATTCTTTCCATTGAGCCGGAGTTTCTTCGCTGGCTGAGCCAGAAGGAACGGTTTTTTATCGTACAAACGTTTGAGACGCGTTCAGGGTTCCCATCCTGCGTTGGATGTGTAGACGGCACAGCGTTTAAGCTGGGTAGCGCCCCCTCTGTTGACCCTAAAAGTTACTATTCCCGGAAGTCAATCTACGGCATTGGTGCTCAAATTGTATGCGATCACCGCCGCCATATTACATACTATCAGGTAAGGTGCAAGACTCATTGCATTTGGGGTTACGCTAATGCTAGTTCTACTTGATACCGGTTGGCTAGTCAGGGTCTTTGCATGATAAACGGGCAATGAGTTTGACGGTTATGGCTGAGCAGCCAGCTGCATATTTTGACGCTGGTCAATATCTTCTCGGCGACACAGCGTATTCGTGTAGCTTCCCATTCATTTTTACCCCATATAAAATGCCAGCTAGCACACTACCGCGAAACAAGACGTTTAATTGGGTTGTGGCGCAACAGCGCATTATTATTGAGCATACCATCGGGATATTGAAGGCTCGGTTTCCTGTTCTCGATGGATCCGAGACAGAATTGTCGATGAAGTCGATATCATGAAGGTCTGCAGCAAACCTGTTTCCTGCTTTATACTTCATAACTTGTGCATCGATAGTTCGGACAGCTTCGAGGTACCGAGGGATCAATACAATACTCAGCAAGAGGATAACGCATCAGCAGTGGATTGGTACAATGAGGACAGTGAAGATCTGCGTACATGCATACAAGAAATTGTCCTGCGTTCGAGGGGTTTTCACCTAGGCTAACTGAAGAGCAATAGAAAACAAAACTGAAAAGAAAAACGTTTTTATTTATCTTGCTTAGAAGTAGTACGCAACTTCAGCAACTCAATCTCCATCTTCTTGGCTTGCAAGTTCAACTTCTGCGTCAACTGAAAACATGCGCTCCATCTTCTGTTCCTTAAGTTTCAGCTCAAGTTTGTATGCCTCGAACTGTTGCCTTTTCAGTTCCAGATCTTCTCTGCGCATCAACATTTCCTCGTTGTGGCGTTCTGCTCGGGTCGTGTCACGCTCGTCACGAATCTGGGCGAGGGGCTTAGCGACAGACGATCCCGGCGAATCGTTATAGACACGCTTGCTGCCTAGCTTCGTCGTTGGCGACCGTGTGGTAAGCGAGCTGTCGGCAAAAAAGTATTCTGACACATTCATACACTCAGCTGTTCCCATCAGTGTTGTATTACCTGCTGCTGCCGCCTGGAGCATCGCAGCGTTGGCCGCTGTTGGCACTGGCAAAATGCTGGCAACGCTGGTCGCTGCAGTTGGCGTGCTGTTGACTGCTGCTGCTCCTGGTGTTAGTGGCGGCGTACTGCTATCTGCTGCTGCTGGTGTGCTGATGACTGCTGCTGCTGGCGTTGGCGGGCTGCTGACAATGCTGGCAATGGCCACTGCTGGGGAAGGGGATGTGCTGGCGGTGGAGGTGCTGACCATTGCTGGTGTCTGTGTCCGGACAGATGAGCCAGCCACGGCTGGTGTCTGCATCGTGACGGTAGTGTGGTGTAGCGGGATCAGCAAAATCTGCGAGATTGCCAGATCCAACTTACCAACTGCGCCCAGACACCGACTAACGGAGGGGGTCCCCCGATGATCCGTGTTCTGCTGAACTTTCCTCACCTTGTGTACCCGTCGGTAGGGCGGGATCTGCTCTCTCGGTAACTTCCGAAGAGTTCAAGTGGTGAAGCTTGAGTGTCTTGGCGAGACGTGGGGATGGGGTGGAGCAGCAGTGGAAAATCTTCACTCTGCGTCCGTGGATGGTTCCGTATCCTAAGCGAATATTCGAGCTTATGGATCCGGGGCCTAGATCGTGGATCTGGCCGTAGGGTTGCCTTGCGGGTGTGTTCCCTTGCCTTTGTGCTGTCCTTTAAGTCGTACTTGCCGCCTCCTGTGACGGGATCTTGAGAGTTGAGAACCTCTAGGGTGTAACCGACCAAGTAGTAAATTCGGTTAACCTGTCGGATCTGCACGAGTAAAGGAAAAGCTCACTAGGTTGTAGGATCTGGCCAATGTATTATCCAGTTATCACTACCAACACTAGATTCGCAATTCCCAACCTTCTCGGAGCTCGTACGGCCAATGTAGTTCCGGTTCTTGAGGGCAGGAAGGCACTTGCGTGATACTGTGCAAATTGAGGACTGTATTGATATTTAAGCCTATACCTGCCTGGGTTTCTACCTTCTATGTCTTTCATCTGCTAAATCCCTTACCAGGCTCGGCTGCATGTCCCTTCTTCCCTTGACCCATCATCCCAGCTGTGTTATCTTCAGATCCACCGGATATATGACGTAATCATCATGGTCACCCTATTATGGGTACACTCATCCGGATCCAGGTCGCTTGGATCCACCTCACTGTAATGGTACACTCGCCGTGGATCCGAGCTCTCCAATCATCCAACATCATCTCGCAACCGTCTGTGATCTCCGTTGTCCCACGAAAGTTCGTGATCCACTGTATCCCTCATCCCTATACCCTGGATCCAGGTCCCTCCAGGCGGGATCCTCCCTCCTTGGATACGAACTCAGAAGTATGGGATCCGGGGTACCTCGCGGTGGATCTTGACTCTTCATTAGCCGTGGCTACTAGATCCACCGTCAGAGGGCACCGACCATCCTTCCTTCATAGGATCCACACTCGATCCACTCTTGTATAGTATATCCCATATCCATCTTAGTGAATCCAGGTAAGGGTGGATCCGAGGTAAGTCTTGGTGGATCTTGCCTTCTCGTACATCGCTCATATCAGATCCATCGTCATTCCATACGGGGTGATGCTCGCCATGGCTAATCCACCACAGGCAACTTGCACCCGTGCCAAACAACCCAAATCCTCTATAATCACTTGAAATTGTCACTGATTCGGGATAGTGACCCCGCGTCAGGACCATTCTCTTATTTCTGAGAAAGCACTTCACCACAGTAGTGTTGGCCCTAGTGTAAGCCTGCCCTTTTAGCACAGCAGCATTCGGCTCTAGCACAAACGGAGGGACCATTTGTGTCTCGAACCAAAGATTTCGTCCGTCTCGTAGAAGTACTTGCATTTTGGAGTAGCATGCCTGTCGATGTAGCAAATTAATCGACCAACAAAACTAAAAAAGCATAACAAGCAAACACACCTTTGATAGACGTAGGATCAATAGTTTTAAAACCAAAGCCAGAGCGACTGAGTTTAGTCTTGTAACTTTGGTAGTTGCTTTCGAGGTCCGTGCATTTGGTCTTAACTTGCGTTGCTGACTTTTGCGGGTGCACTGTAAGAGCAGCTTCGTAGAACTTCGACTTGACTCCTTTCGTGTACTCATCTAAATGTGTAGACAGGTAATCGAGAAGAGCATATTCTTCCTCAGCACACCACCTTTTGTTAACCATTTTGGCAGAATGAAATACTAACGTTGGTGGTTGCGATGTTGTTGTGCCACAACCAATCAAATCAAACCTTCTCCTAGTCGTTTGCACCAATAACATTATACCTTCACTTCTTGGCCAAAACCTACCGAGTTTTCCGAGTCGGTTTTAGTT